AATGTCTAGAGCAGGGCTGTCCAAACTCGGTCCTGGAGGGCCGGTGTCCTGCAGAGTTTAGCTCCAACTTGCCTCAACACACCTGACTGAAAGTTTCTATGCCTAGTAAGAGCTTGATTAGCTGGTTCAGGTGTGGTTAATTAGGGTTGGAGCTAAACTCTGCAGGACACCGGCCCTCCAGGACCGAGTTTGGACAGCCCTGCTCTAGACATTCGTAGTCCAATCCAGTGTTCATATTTTCATAGACCTTGTTTTTATTCACAGTGTACATTCACACAGCATGTGATTGATTGTTTTTCAGTGTCTCCTGCTGTGCTTCTGGATGAGATTGAGGCAGCGGAGGCAGAGGGTAATGATGACCGCATTGAGGGTGTGCTATGTGGGGCTGTCAAACAACTGAAGATGAACCGAGCCAAGCCCGACATGACGCTATACCTCAGCCTCATGTTTCTCGCCAAAATCAAGCCCAATGTCTTTGCAACAGAGGGTGTGATAGAGGTAGATAGAATCACATGTGCTACAGTACTGTAATTTCCTGTTGCTGCTGGTGACTAAACTTATTGTGTTAAATGTCTTTATTCAGGCTCTCTGCAGTTTGCTCCGCCGTGACGCCTCAATCAACTTTAAGGCCAAGGGGAACAACCTGGTGTCTGTGCTGGCCTGTAACCTATTGATGGCTGCCTATGAGGAAGATGAAAACTGGCCTGAGATATTTGTCAAAGTAAGTGATCAAGCTGTCCAGCTTTCTTATCTCACAGTAATCATGGTACTGATACACAGTCATTGTGGGGTTTCCCAGGTCTACATTGAGGACTCTCTCGGTGAGCGTATCTGGGTGGACAGCTCGCACTGTAAAACTTTTGTTGATAACATCCAGACTGCCTTCACAACCAAGATGCCACCCAAGAGTATGCTGCTCCAGACGGAAACAGGGAGATCAGGGGGCGACCTCAGTGCTGGTTGGTGGTCCAAGACTTTTCTCAGTCATGGACGGAAATGTATATGTTAGTAAAATTGAGAAGAATTGACACAAAATACTGTATTTTAGGGAACAGCCCTCATCCTTCCACTCCAGATGAGGATGAAGGTCAGACTGAGCTTTTAATCGCTGAAGAGAAACTGAGTCCAGAGGATGATGGACAGGACATGCCCAGGTAGGGAAGTGCATATATTCAAGAAGATGTGCCAGTTTTTAATGATATGAAGTGAATAAATTAATTACATGCAATTAATTATTACATAAAAAACTAGATGTAATATTTCGAAATTGAGAAATGCTTGCATGCGTCAATGAATTGTTTTTACTGTTAAAATATTTTCACCATTCAAAAGTTTGGTGTCTGTAAGATATTTTTAATTTTTTTAAATAAATAAATAATTATTTTTATTCAGCAGTGATGCCTTAAATTGACAAAAACTGACAGTAAAGACTTTTACATTGTTTTGCGAAAGTTTTCTATTTCAACTCAATGCCAGCACCGGACCAATTAATACTAGCACTTTTCCTATTCTATTCTATTCTATTCTATTCTATTCTCTCTAATTTATTTAAAATTGAAAATACAAATAAATAAATAAATAAACACCTTGCTATGTGTACTGTGCTAGACTAACTGAGACTTGTCACAGCACTTCTACTGTTGCCCTATTGTTGGCTTCTATTGCTCTCCTCATTTGTAAGTCGCTTTGGATAAAAGCGTCTGCTAAATTATTAAATGTAAATGTAAATGCTGTTCTTTTGAACTTTCTTTTCATCAAAAAATCCTGAAAAACAAGGTATCATGATTTCCACAAAAATAGTAAGGCCATGTCCACACGTACACGGGTATTTTTATAAACTGAGTTTTTCCTTCTTCCGTTTAAAAAAAAAATCTCTGTCCACATGAAAACGCAAACGCATGCTATGAAGCACTGTCAAGAGCATGCCAAACCAACAGGTGGCGATATAATCTCAACCGTAAAGCCATGTTGGCCAATCAGAAGCCTGAAAAAGTCTCCAGTAGGCGGAGATAACCGCGCAGGCGCCGACGTCACAAGCCAAAAACTCCGGTTTCACTGTCTACACGATAACACCGGAGTTTTTGAAAATCTTCACCCTGGCAGGCGTTTTCAAAAATGTTCGGTTTCAGTGAACTGGTGCTGCGTTTGCGTGTGGACGAACGGCCTAACCACGTAGAAAAAGCTGGGGTTATAAATAACCGCGTTCGTGTGGACAGGGCCCAAGAAGCACAACTGTTTTCAACATTGATAATAATAAGAATCGTTTCTTGAGCAGCAAATCAGCATATTATTTTTACATTTTTACTGTATATTTGATCCATTAAATTCCTTGGTTGAGTATAAGAGACTTCTTTCAAAATTAAAAAATAAAATAAAAAAACATCTTACAAATCCCAAACATTTGAACAGTAGTGTATATGTAACGATAATGTATATAGTTTTATTTTTTATATATACAAATGAGTGTCTTAAGTAGCCTATTAGTTTTTGCTGTGGTATCGAAATTGGTGTTGAGAATAGTAAATTTTCATTGGTACAGTAATTTTGGTATGCTCGGGTATTTATCAGAATCATTTTACAAACCTGTTACAAAGCGTTTGCTCTGTGTAACCTTTATCTTCTCTGGCTTCAGGTATGAGGAGCTGGCTGAAAGTGTGGAGGAGTATGTCTTGGACGTTTTGAGGGACCAGCTGAACCGTCGCCAGCCCATGGATAACGTGTCCAGGAACCTTCTGCGCCTTCTCACGGCCACCTGTGGTTATAAAGAGGTCCGACTGATGGCCGTGCAGAGACTTGAGATGTGGTTACAGAATCCTAAGGTACAAAAACATGGACAAAAGAGAGGAAGCGTCATTGTCTGAGAGTATGAAACCACATATCTAAAGGTTTGTTTTTGTTTGGTCATTCTCCAGCTGACTCGGCCAGCACAGGATCTTCTGATGTCTTTGTGCATGAACTGTAATACACACGGCTCAGACGACATGGAGGTCATCTCGAACCTCATCAAGATCCGCCTCAAACCTAAAGTTCTCCTCAACCACTACATGCTGTGTGTCAGGTCGGCATTATACCTTCAGACCTGAAATCTCAGTTTATACTCTCTATAGATAATTAATTATAAGTCAGTACTGTAAAGCCTAAATGCTTTTTTAATGTATTTTTTCATGTAAATGTAAATGCTGTTCTTTTGAACTTTCTTTTCATCAAAAAATCCTGAAAAACAAGGTATCATGATTTCCACAAAAATAGTAAGGCCATGTCCACACGTACACGGGTATTTTTATAAACTGAGTTTTTCCTTCTTCCGTTTAAAAAAAAAATCTCTGTCCACATGAAAACGCAAACGCATGCTATGAAGCACTGTCAAGAGCATGCCAAACCAACAGGTGGCGATATAATCTCAACCGTAAAGCCATGTTGGCCAATCAGAAGCCTGAAAAAGTCTCCAGTAGGCGGAGATAACCGCGCAGGCGCCGACGTCACAAGCCAAAAACTCCGGTTTCACTGTCTACACGATAACACCGGAGTTTTTGAAAATCTTCACCCTGGCAGGCGTTTTCAAAAATGTTCGGTTTCAGTGAACTGGTGCTGCGTTTGCGTGTGGACGAACGGCCTAACCACGTAGAAAAAGCTGGGGTTATAAATAACCGCGTTCGTGTGGACAGGGCCCAAGAAGCACAACTGTTTTCAACATTGATAATAATAAGAATCGTTTCTTGAGCAGCAAATCAGCATATTATTTTTACATTTTTACTGTATATTTGATCCATTAAATTCCTTGGTTGAGTATAAGAGACTTCTTTCAAAATTAAAAAATAAAATAAAAAAACATCTTACAAATCCCAAACATTTGAACAGTAGTGTATATGTAACGATAATGTATATAGTTTTATTTTTTATATATACAAATGAGTGTCTTAAGTAGCCTATTAGTTTTTGCTGTGGTATCGAAATTGGTGTTGAGAATAGTAAATTTTCATTGGTACAGTAATTTTGGTATGCTCGGGTATTTATCAGAATCATTTTACAAACCTGTTACAAAGCGTTTGCTCTGTGTAACCTTTATCTTCTCTGGCTTCAGGTATGAGGAGCTGGCTGAAAGTGTGGAGGAGTATGTCTTGGACGTTTTGAGGGACCAGCTGAACCGTCGCCAGCCCATGGATAACGTGTCCAGGAACCTTCTGCGCCTTCTCACGGCCACCTGTGGTTATAAAGAGGTCCGACTGATGGCCGTGCAGAGACTTGAGATGTGGTTACAGAACCCTAAGGTACAAAAATGTTGACAAAAAAGAGGAATGAGACATACTCTCATTGTCTGAGAGTATGAAACCACATACCTAAAGGTTTGTTTTTGTTTGGTGATTCTCCAGCTGACTCGGCCAGCACAGGATCTTCTGATGTCTTTGTGCATGAACTGTAATACACACGGCTCAGACGACATGGAGGTCATCTCGAACCTCATCAAGATCCGCCTCAAACCTAAAGTTCTCCTCAACCACTACATGCTGTGTGTCAGGTCGGCATTATACCTTCAGACCTGAAATCTCAGTTTATACTCTCTATAGATAATTAATTATAAGTCAGTACTGTAAAGCTTTTTTAATGTATTTTTTCATGTTTCTCATGTTCTGCAGGGAGCTTTTGAATGCACACCGAGATAATCTGGGCACCATGGTGAAGTTTGTGATCTTTAACGAGCTGTCAAATGCCAGAAATCCCAATAATATGCAAGTGCTCCATACAGTTTTGCAACATAGCCCAGAGCAGGCACCCAAGGTGACTTTTCAACCAACCTTGTTGGCTTCATGTACATTTATAAATTACTGTTGCTATTTAAAGAAGGTATCACTGTAGCTCTTGCCAATACTTGTTTTCAAAAGTATCATATTCTGACATGCACCACTTATGGTATGGACATGAAGGAGGGACTCAAGAAATTGAATAACATTTCTTTTGCGCCTTGTTTTGTTTTGTCCCTAGTTTCTGGCCTTGGTGTTCCAGGATCTGCTGACCAATAAGGACGACTACCTCCGGGCCTCACGCGCTTTGCTCAGGGAAATCATTAAACAGACCAAACACGAGATCAACTTCCAGTCCTTCTGTTTAGGCCTCATGCAGGAAAGGAAAGAGGCCAGTTATGTGGACATGGAGTTTAAAGTGAGGACTATATTGCTGTATTTACTATGTGTACTTATGAAAACAACATCTGTTTTGATGTTTTGCCTATACATAATTTTTTGTTTCCATCTCAGGAGCGTTTTGTCATTCAAGTGACAGATCTCTTGACAGTGTCCATGATGCTTGGGATCACGGCTCAGGTCAAAGAGGCTGGCATTGCTTGGGACAAAGGAGAGAAGAAGAGTAAGATGTTTTATACTCCTTTTGCCTCACATACCCAACATTCAAAAGCTTTGCTCAGGGAAATCATTAAACAGACCAAACACGAGATCAACTTCCAGTCCTTCTGTTTAGGCCTCATGCAGGAAAGGAAAGAGGCCAGTTATGTGGACATGGAGTTTAAAGTGAGGACTATATTGCTGTATTTACTATGTGTACTTATGAAAACAACATCAGTTTTGATGTTTTGCCTATACATAATTTTTTGTTTCCATCTCAGGAGCGTTTTGTCATTCAAGTGACAGATCTCTTGACAGTGTCCATGATGCTTGGGATCACGGCTCAGGTCAAAGAGGCTGGCATTGCTTGGGACAAAGGAGAGAAGAAGAGTAAGATGTTTTATACTCCTTTTGCCTCACATACCCAACATTCAAAACTTTATGCTAATGAGGATGCATATGTATTTCAGATCTGGAGGGGCTGAGGTCCTTTCAGAACCAGATTGCTGCCATCCAGAGAGATGCTGTGTGGTGGCTGCACTCTGTGGTTCCCACCATCAGTAAAGTGGGACCTAAAGACTATGTGCACTGGTATGATGAATCAGCTGGATGTAGGACCAGTGTTATTATTGTTAACTAAAACTATTAAAAATATTCAGTAAATATAATAAATCTGAAATAAAATAAAATATAAATGAAAAACATGTATATAAAACATATATACCAAAATAGATAAAAAAACATAAATGTAAAAAAACAAACAAACATAAAACATACATGAAATATGTTTAATACGTATAATACTATAAATACTGCTAAAATAACACTATAGGGCTAATATTTATCATAATTTTTCATTTAAAGTGATACATTGCACCAAAAACAATTTATTTGATATTTCCTGACCATTTAACACTCTTGTTGGACCCTTAAAATTAATCTAGCTCTTGTCTGAAATGTAAACACATTTACATATAGCATATTGTTATTTTACTGATTGTTTAATTGTGTTTCAACAGTCTACACAAAGTGCTTTTCACAGAGCAGCCTGAGACGTATTACAAATGGGACAACTGGCCACCTGAGAGTGACCGAAAGTGAGAATCTCTGCTTGAACATCTTACAGAAAGAATAGTTGTTAGTACATTCAATTAATAGATGTTAATGCATCTCTCTTGTTTGTTAGTTTCTTTCTCCGGCTGTGCTCTGAGGTTCCTCTGTTAGAGGACACGCTGATGCGCATCTTGGTGATCGGTCTCTCTCGTGATCTGCCCCTGGGCCCAGCTGATGCCATGGAGCTGGCTGATCACCTGGTGAAGAGAGCTGCAGGAGTTCAGTCTGATGGTAAGACAGCGCTCCTGGATAGAGGTATTAGTAAAAGACGCATATTTTAATAATTAAAAATAGCTCATAACTTTTTAAAAGTGGTCTTTTCAAAGACCTTTTAGAAGTTTTCAAAACTGGTTGTTTGGTGATATTTGTCTTCCCACCTCATCAACTGTAGACTTGGAAGTGTTGCGAGTCGAGAGGATCCAACTAATTGATGCTGTGCTGAACCTTTGTACTTATCATCACCCAGAGAACATCCAGCTGCCTGCAGGGTACGGCCTTTACCTTTCACCAAGTTTATTCCCTGCTGTTTTTTCACTTCAGTTTTATTATGCAGTGATTCATCAGCTTTATATTGCCAAATAATTACTGGGTGCCATGGACTATTTGCATTGAAAGTTTAAGCTACATTGTGGTCTGTCTACTCCTGGCATCCAGTACTCTATTTGTGGGCTGTTTATTCCTTCAAGAGGAGAAATGCTTTATTAAATGTTCAATTTTAGCTATCAACCTCCAAATCTTGCCATATCAACTCTTTACTGGAAGGCCTGGCTGCTGCTGCTTGTGGTGGCAGCATTCAACCCACAGAAAATTGGTGAGGCCAGATATGATGCAATACTTGCATTTAATAATAACATCTCATTAGAACGCCATTATATCGCTGTCACCGATGGTTTCAGGTTTGGCAGCATGGGATGGTTACCCCACTCTGAAAATGCTCATGGAGATGGTTATGACAAAGTAAGTGTTCTGCATATTGTGTTGAAATGTGGTTTTATGGATGTTTCAGCACCTGACACTTTTCTTTTGCTCTCTCCTCAGCAACTACTCTTACCCTCCATGCACGGTGGCTGATGAGGAGACCAAAACCGAGATGATCAACAGAGAGCTGCAGATCTCTCAGAAGGAGAGGCAGGAGATCCTGGCCTTTGAGAGCCACTTGGCAGCTGCCTCCACCAAACAGACCATAACAGAAAACAACAGCCTCCTGCTGTCCCAGCTCACCAGCCTGGACCCAAAGTATGACTTCCTGTTTGTCACTGTGGTGATAAACCACCGTATACATTTACATTTATACATTTGTAACAATATTTAATGCCAGGTTTATTAGACAACTAGATTAGGATGTTTTTACAGATACACTGACCCAGTCTTTCATTCTATGCTCAGGGGACCCCCTCGTAAGCCACCGCCTCTTGTCCTGGATCAAGTAAAGAGTCTGAACCAGTCTTTGCGCCTGGGCCATCTGCTCTGCCGCAGCCGCAACCCTGACTTCCTACTCAATATTATCCAGAGACAAGTAAACACTCTTATGTACTTGGGGAGCTGTGCTTTATAAAGAGCCATGTTTAAGGGACTTTCTAAATGTCATGTTTTTTCCCCCATCCAGGCCTCCTCTCAGTCTATGCCATGGCTGGCTGATCTCGTCCAGTCCAGTGAAGGGTCCTTGGATGTGCTGCCCGTTCAGTGCCTCTGTGAATTCCTCCTCCACGATGCTGCTGATGACGCCTCCTCCATTGATGATGAGGAGGAAGGAGAGAGCAAAGAGCAGCGAGTGAAGAAAAGACAGGTAAAGCTCAGCCTTGACCGCACATTGCTGTTGTCTTTTAATTTTCTTTTCTTTTTTTTCCCTGAAGTCATCTTGTAATGTTAGTCAAGTAATCTTAAACCAAAGTTTAGTTTTACATTACCCTTTTTTCCAATCCTTATTGAAGTAATTTACACATTGATTTGTTAGGGTGGTCCAAAATGCGAAATATGCAAACATAAATAAATATGATAAATAAAAATACATGTATATTATGATAAAATAAAATAGAGCAGTTAAAGGTACACTGCTGTTCAAAAGTTTGGGGTCAGTAAGATTAGAGAAATACTTTTATTGCAGCAAGGATGCATTAAACTGATCAAAAGTTACAGTAAAGACATTTCTAATATTACAAAGTTTCTGTTCATTAAAGAATCGTGAAAAAAATGTTTTAGTTTGCACAAAAATATTATGCAGCACAACTATTTTCAACATTGAAAATAATAAGAAATGTTTCTTGAGCAGCAAATCAGCATTTTAGCATGATTTCTGAAGGATCATGTGACACTGAAGACTGGAGTAATGATGCTGAAAATTCAGCTTTGCATCACAGAAATAAATTACATTTTTAAATATAAAAAAATTAACAGTGATTTTAAATTGTAATAATATTTCACAATACTACTGTTTTTACTGTGTTTTTTCTCCTCGTCTTTCTCTGTCAGAGGCAGCAGAAACAGAGGCAGCTTCTTGGGCGGCTCCAGGACCTGCTGCTGGGTCCTAAGGCTGATGAACAGACCACATGTGAAGTCTTGGACTACTTCCTCCGCCGTCTCAGTTCTTCTCAGGTGGCCTCTAGAGTACTGGCCATGAAGGTGCGGAGTTAATTAACCATCCACCAGTGCTTGATTCATTTAGACCGTTTAAAAGATGGTTGTCGTGATGTGTGTATCAGGGTTTGTCTCTGGTGCTGACTGAGGGAGCATTAAAAGATGGAGAGGAGAGGGATCAGCTCATGGAGGAGGACTCCAGAGATGCCGAGTTACTGCCAGGCTACCAGTGGCTCCTTCAGGACCTCCCCAAACTACCTCTGTTTGATAGTGTAAGAGGCTTGACGTCCAGCGCCTTACAGCAGGTCAGTCCTCCTACACAAGTACAAGATTATCAATATCTGCAACTTGCTCAGCTTATTGTGTTTGTGTGGTTTTTCCAATTTAGGCCATTCACTTAGAAACTGATCCTCAGACCATCAGCGCATACCTGATTTACCTTTCCCAGCATGCACCAGTGGAAGAACAGTCACTCCACAATGACCTGGCCTTGGTTAGTCTAAATCTACAGCTTTTTATTTGTCTGAAATAAGCTGTAGTCTAACCTTTCTCTTCTCTCCTGTCTTGTGTTTCATGTCTTCTCAGGATGTGGCTCGTCTGATAGTGGAACGCTCCACTATAATGAACTCCCTCTTTTCCAAGCACTCCTGCAGGCCTGAGTCTGATGCAGTTCTCTCCGCTCTTATCTCCATTTTCTCCAGCTATATCCGTCGTATGAGGAAGACAAAAGAGGGAGAGGACCTCTATAGCTGGGTACTAAGGAACATATAATTGAAAATTCCGTAATTACTGCTTGTGCACATGGATAAAGACCAAATTTTAAATCTCACAGTCGGAGTCTCAGGATCAAGTGTTCCTGCGATGGACTACAGGAGAAACAGCCACCATGCACATCCTAGTGGTCCATGCTATGGTCATCCTGCTCACACTGGGACCTCCCAAAGGTGAGTATCTCCTCTGTTGCAGTGTTGTGAGTTCTACAAACTGCTGGATATCTGGTTTCCTGATAAAAAGCCCCTTCCCACTGCATTCCTGGTTGACACATCAGAGGAAGCCCTTCTGTTGCCTGATTGGCTGAAATTAAGAATGATCCGATCTGAAGTCGCCCGATTGGTTGATGCAGGTATTAATAACTTGTATTTACAAATAAGGGGCAATATACACTACCATTTAAAAGTTTAGTGTCTGTAAGAAGTGTCTTATGCTCACCAAGCCTGCATTTATTTACTTAAAAATACGGTTAAAGCTCATTTTTAATTTTTCAGCACAGTTTTCAGTGTCACATGATCCTTCAGAAATCATTCTAATATGCTGATTTGCTGTTAAAAAAAAAACATTTCTTATTATTAACGATGCTGAAAGCAGTTGTGCAGCTTAATATTTTTGTATTGAAAAATATAAATCTTTTGTAACATTATAAATGTCTTTACTGTCATTTTTTGATTGTTTTAATACGTCCTTGCTGAATACAAGTATTACTTTCATTAAAAAAATCTTAGTGACTTCAAACTTGTAACTGTAGTGTAGGTGAGCTAATGTGTTTTTTTGTTTTGTTTTTTTTCATTCACAGCCCTACAGGATCTGGAGCCCCAGCAGCTGCTGTTGTTCGTCCAGTCCTTTGGGATCCCCGTCTCCAGCATGAGCAAACTGCTACAGTATCTGGACCAGGCCGTGTCTCACGATCCTCAAACACTGGAACAGAATATCATGGACAAAAGTGAGGGTCTTTCATTTGAAATACTCTGTTCTCCCATGATTTGGTGTGTGTAAAATGATGCTAATATCATGGATGTTTCTACCTGTTAGACTACATGGCTCATCTAGTGGAGGTACAGCATGAGAGAGGAGCCACGGGTGGACACACATTTCACAGTTTACTCAGTACTTCACTTCCTCCGCACAGAGGTTAGGATCTAATGCCTTACACTGGGGGTTCTGTCAGCACTGATTAATAGTGCTGTTTTACTCAGTTTGAGTTGCACAGAGTGATTAAATTTCTGTACTAATGAGTCCTTTGCTGATCTGATGTGTTACAGACAGCTCAGAGGTGAGCAGGGCTAAGGTTACTGTTGAAACGCCCCATGGCTCTGTGAAGATGAGAGCAGTGAGTCAGGTGCCAGTGATCGGCCCAGAGGATGATCTCGCTGGGATTCTACTGCAGGTGCAACATCTCACATTGAAATGCTTTATTAGAGGAATTCTTTCTTCTGCCAAGATTTAATTCTGTAATGGTTGTATTAATATCTTGTCAGAGGTGTGGCACAACAGTTATTGCATGTGCTTCTGACATTGTCAGTCTCTGGTTGGCATGCAGTGTGTCGTCCTGATCACTCTCTACTAAGGCTGGGTAATGTCATAATTGAATACATCGTAATGCATCACAGTATTCACGTTATTGGATTGTGATTAAAACCATGTAAAATTAGTAAGAAACACTAGATCCATTTAAAGGAAAAGTTCAACCAAAAATTTTAATTCTGTCATTTGCTCACTCTTGTCATTCCAAACCCATAAAACTTTCCTTCATCTTTGAAACACAAATGAAGATATTTTAATGAAACCTCAGAGATTTCTATCCCTCCACTGAAAGTCCATTCCAATAAAAATTTGACGTTTCAAAAAGTTGATAAATACATTGTAAAAGTAATTCATATGAACAGAGTGGTATAATCCATTATTCATCCATTTATTCATATACTAACATTGATTAGTGCACATACATAGAGCTCAAATATGGTAAACGGAAGCTCAACCATGCTTGATGTGCAGGAACAAATGTCACTCACTGATTTGTCATGTTCCAGGAAAGTTTGCACTGACAAGCTGTTTTAAACCACTTAAACGCCAAAACACCTTTGTTTTGGCGAGACTTTGTTCGAAATTGTCACACTCCTTCATTGTTTGATTTTCCTAGAAGAATATTGGGCCTTTTAATCTGTTTCACGACCCTTCAAAGCGTCACTGACTGACACTGACAAATTTTTGTTTCAGAGTTTGCAATTATGTAGACAACCCTCTTCTTCATTAATTAAACTCTAGTGATGAATGAGTTAATGTAAATAAAATAATACATTAAAAATAATTACAAATATAATTAATACTAATTGTATCATAAATATTATATCATAAAAACAAGCATACCATAATATTAACTGAATTGGTACAGTCTTAGTGTACCTATCAAATAAAGAGCAAAAATATTATATTTAAATGATGGTAACTTGGAAAATGATTTTGCTGAATTCTCTTTTCTCCATGTAGCTCTTCCCTCTGAAGGTGGATCCGCGCTGGCCGCCGCCCCCGGTCCGGCCATTGTCATTAGCTCTGCAGCAGACCCTGGCTCAAGAGGTGCTGCGGGCACGACAGGGTCACATCCACCAGGGTGGTGCCACCGGGCGACTCCTACAAGCCTTTGCAGCCCTTCTAAACTCTACCCACGCTGGAGCCCTGGTCATGGCAATGCACCACAGCCATACGATCTCCTGCCCTCTACTGCGCCAACTCCATCTTTACCAGGCACATAACCAATGCATACCTACATACTCAATATCATCACTGGTGCTTCCTTTTGCTTGCTCACTCAAATTCACGTTTTCTCCTCTAGCGTTTGGTCTCTCAAGATGTTGGCTTCTCGTCACTGTTCTTCAACGCCGTTGTGCAGATGTTGACGTGGTTGGAAAACTCGGCGGCAGAGACAGGGCCACTCCACAGCCTCCTGAAATCTCTGGCAGCTCAGTACTCTCACAAACATCGCATCACAGATGGTGAGTGGCTCCTAATCCTGAATCTTAGCTGTGCGGGTCATGTTTGCAAGCACATATTCAAACTGACAGCACAGAACTAGCTGAATCAGCAGTCGGTAGAACAGTTTTAGTCCTAGCATGCTCTGCAGGTGTATTGACTGTGTCCTGTGTCATCAGTTCGTACTGGATTTCTCCATTTGGCTGAAGCTCTGGCATACAGACGGGACTCTGAAGTGGCAGTGAGGGGCATTTTTGCCTCTTTGAGAGCTGGAGAAAAATGCAACGCTGAACCTGAACTCATACGAAAAGGTATTTAAAGCAGTAC